TATTGGCAATGGCAGTCAAGCAGGACCATGGCAGGAGGCTCCACCAGGATCCATGAGAACCTGCGAGACGAGAAAGCACAAGAACTCCGGGGAAGAAGTGGAGTTAGTAACATGCATTAATGGGACATGAATGAGTGCAGAAAGAGAGAGGAAGAGAGTAGCTCAGTGCACCATGGGAAATCCCCCGATAGTCTAGGCCTATAGCAGCATAACTAAGGGATGGTTCAGGACTCACCTGATCCAGCCCTAACTATAAGCTTTATCAAAGAGGAATGTCTTAAGCCTACTCTTGAATGTGGTGAGGGTGTCTGCCTCCCGAACCACAACTGGAAGCTGGTTCCACAGGAGAGGAGCTTGGTAACTGAAGGCTCTGGCTCCTGTTCTACTTTTAGAGACTATAGGAACCACAAGTAGCCCAGCATTCAGAGAACGTAGTGTTCTAGTGGGGTAATAGGGTACTATGAGCTCTTTAAGATATGAAGGGGCCTGACCATGAAGAGCTTTATAGGTGAGGAGGAGGATTTTAAATTCAATTCTACATTTTATAGGGAGCCAATGCAGAGCAGCTAGTACAGGAGAGATGTGATCTCTTTTTCTAGTTCCTGTCAGTACTCGTGCTGCAGCGTTCTGAATTAATTGGAGCGTTTTAATGGACTTATTGGGGCAACCTGATAATAAAGAGTTGCAGTAATCCAGCCTTGAAGTAACAAATGCATGGATTAGTTTTTCTGCATCTGTCTGTGATAGTATGTGTCTAATTTTTCTAATATTACGTAAATGAAAGAAGGCAGTCCTAGAGGTCTGCTTTATGTGGGAGTTAAATGACAAATCCTGATCAAAGATAACTCCAAGATTCCTGACAGTGGTGCTAGAGGCCAAGTTAATGCCATCTAGAGTAACTATATCTTTAGACAGTGAGTCTCTAAGGTTTTTGGGGCCAAGAACAAGAATTTCGGTTTTTTCTGAGTTTAACATCAGAAAATTGCAGGTCATCCAGGATTTTATGTCCTTAAGACATGTTTGTAATTTAGATAATTGATTAATTTCATTGGGTTTGATTGATAGATATAACTGCGTATCATCTGCATAACAGTGAAAGTTAATGGAGTGATTCCTAATAATGTTGCCTAAAGGGAGCATATATAAAGTAAATAGTATTGGTCCAAGTACAGAACCTTGTGGAACTCCATGACTAACTTTAGTATTTATGGAGGATTCATCGTTAACATGTACAAACTGAGAACGATCTGATAAGTATGACTTAAACCAGGTTAGGGCAGTTCCTTTAATGCCAATTTGATGCTCAAGTCTCTGTAAAAGAATATCATGGTCAATGGTGTCAAATGCAGCACTAAGATCTAATAATACAAGTACAGAGACAAGTCCATTGTCAGAAGCAGTCAGAAGGTCATTATTAACTTTAACCAGAGCTGTCTCTGTGCTATGATGAACTCTAAATCCTGACTGAAAATCCTCAAATAAACTATTGTTATGTAGAAAGTCACACAACTCTTTGGCGACTACTTTCTCCAGAATCTTAGAGAGGAACGGGAGGTTAGAAATCGGTCTATAGTTGGCTAAAACCCCTGGGTCAAGAGTAGACTTTTTAAGAAGGGGTTTAATTACAGCTACTTTAAAGGACTGTGGTACATATCCTGATAATAAAGAAAGATTAATCATATCCAGTAAAGAAGTGCCAATTAAGGGAACAACTTTAAGCAGCCTAGTTGGGATCGGGTCTAACAGACAGGTTGATGGCTTCGATGAAGAAATGATTGAAGTTAACTGATGAAGATCGATAGCAGAAAAACAGTTTAAATATATATCTAAGTTTACGTAAGTAAAAGTCCCTGAACTTGGAGAGCCACTGATAACTGTTGATGGCAGTTGGTGATTAATTTTCTCTCTAATAGTAATAGTTTTATTATAAAAGAAGCTCATGAAGTCATTGCTACTTAAGTTTATGGGGATATGTGGCTCGATAGAGCTGTGACTCTCTGTCAGCCTGGCTACAGTGCTGAAGAGGAACCTAGGGTTGTTCTTATTTTCTTCTATTAGTGCTGAGTAATAGGCTCCTCTGGCATTACGGAGGGCCTTTCTATAAATCTTAAGATCATCTTGCCAATTTGAGCGATATTCTGATAATTTGGAAGAGCGCCATTTCCTTTCAGATTTCCTAGCTATTTGTTTTAACTGGCGGGTTTGGTGGTTATACCAAGGTGCTAGTCTCCTATGTTTTAATAATTTCCTTTTTATAGGAGCGATAGAGTCTAATGTTGATCGTAGTGAGCCTGTAGCACTATCGACAAGATTATCAATTTCAGAGGGACTAAAGTTGTTATAGGACTCTGTTAAATTCAGACATGGCATTGAATTAAACACTGAAGGAATCTCCTCCTTAAATTTAGCTACAGCACTGTCAGATAGACATCTGCTGTAGGAAGTTTTGCCTAATGGCTTATAATCTAATAGTATGAATTCAAAAGTTATTAAATAATGGTCAGATAGGAAAGGATTATGTGGGAAGACTATTAAATGTTCAATATCAATGCCATATGATAAAACAAGGTCAAGAGTGTGATTAAAACAATGAGTTGGTTTATTTACACTCTGACAGAAGCCAATTGAGTCTATTAATGATATAAATGCATTACTAAGGCTGTCATTGTCAACATCCACATGAATATTAAAATCACCTACAATAATTACTTTATCTGATTTAAGGACTAAGCTTGATAGAAACTCTGAAAATTCAGATATAAAGTCAGAGTACGGTCCAGGAGCGCGGTACACTATAACAAATAGAACTGGCTGCAGTGTTTTCCAGTTTGGGTGAGAAAGGCTAAGAACAAGGCTTTCAAATGAATTATAATTTAGTTTAGGTTTAGGGTCCATTAAAACGCTCGAATCATATATAGCTGCTACTCCACCTCCTCGGCCGGTGCCTCGAGGAATGTGAGTATTAATATGACTGGGGGGGTGGATTCATTTAGGCTAACATACTCCTCGTGGGACAACCAGGTCTCAGTAAGACAAAGTAAATCAATATCATAATCTGATATTAATTCATTCACTAAAACAGCTTTAGAGGACAGAGACCTGATATTTAACAGCCCACATTTCATTCTCTTATTTTGTGCTACTGAGGAGTTAGTTTTAATTTTTATTAGATATTTATGTTGAACTCCTCTTGTTTTTATTTCTTTAAATAATTTAGGTGGTCGGGGGACAGACACAGTCTCTATGGGGTTTTGGGTGGGTGACTGTTCTAAAGAAAGCGCAGAGAAGTGTGTAAGACAGCAGCTCTGCTTCCTGGTCCTAACTCTGGACTGTCAGGTTTTAGAGATAAACTTCGCCATATTCCTAGATAAGAGAGCCGCTCCATCCAAAGTGGGATGGATGCCGTCTCTCCTAATCAGACCAGGTTTTCCCCAAAAAGGCTTCCAGTTATCAATGAAGCCCACATCGTTTGCTGGACACCACCTCGACAGCCAGCGGTGGAATGACGACATGCGGCTATACATGTCATCACTGGTCACATTGGGGAGGGGTCCAGAGAAAACTACGGTGTCCGACATTGTCTTAGCATAGTTACACACCGACTCCACATTAATCTTAGTGACCTCCGATTGGCGTAAACGGGTGTCGTTACCGCCGACGTGGATAACAATCTTACTGTATTTACGTTTACCTTTAGCCAGCAGTTTTAAATTTGATTCAATGTCGCCCGCTCTGGCCCCAGGGATACATTTAACTATGGCCGCTGGCTTCACTAACTTCACGTTTCTGACTATGGAGCTGCCAATAACCAGAGTTGGTTCCTCAGCGGGTGTATCGCTGAGTGGGGAAAATGTATTAGAAACGTGAATGGGTTGGTGGTGAACTGTGGGCTTCGCCGTTCTAGTCTTCCTTCGCTCAGTCACCCAGCCTCCCTGTCTTCCCGGCTGCTCGGGAACTACCGGGGGATCTACAGATCTAACAGAAGCTACCTTCGGTCGGACCGCACCGGCTACCGGGGGCTGGCTAACTATAGCGGCTAAAGATATCTCAGTGGTGCGGTACCGTTCCTCTAACTCACTAAGCCTCGCCTCCAGCGCAGTAAATAAACTACATTTAATACAGGTACCATTATCATTAAAGGAGGCAGAGGAATAACTGAACATCTGACACACTGAGCAGGACAGAGGAGAGGGAGAAGCCATAGCTAACTGCTAATGCTAATGAAACTAGCGTGTATGAAAAACTTTGAAAGTAGTGAAAAGTCCCTAAAAGAAGGAGAAACTCCAAGTGTTTAAGTAGAACTAGTCTACGTTTAAATGTTAAGCGGGTAAATAACCGCTGTAACGAGTAAAACTAATTTATATTTAGCGTTCACTGACAGAGCTACAGCACCAAACAGTGTACACAGAGCAGGAAGTAAACCGGAAGTGAGTCAGTACGCTTACCGTAGCACGTCCAACCAATCCGGGTTAGGATTTACATTTTAAATGTCATACGTGTGTTATATTGTAGAGGATAACAGATGGCAAGATATCTGTCATAAGACATGATGGCTAAGTTGGCAAATTCTATACCTGAATATGTATACACAAAGAAGATCTGCAGGAAACAAAATGAAGTAGAAACAGTGTGAATGTCAGAGAGAATCTGTACCAGAAGCATTGGAAACAACCCTGTACTACCATACAGTTCATTTACAAACAGGCTGCACAGAAATATGTACATAGGTTCATGTAAGCTTCTGTTCATACAGATAATCACAATGAGCAAAGGATTGACACCGACAATAAACAAATATAAAGACATAAAAATTATGAAAAACAAATATTTTATAAGACCAGTGTCAAAGTAGGCACCAAGTTTAAAATATGAACCTGTGTAGAGTTTGTGTTTGTGCCGAGTAAATGGAACCATGAATTCTGCTGTCTACCAAAAAATCCATAAGGAGAATGTCCAGCCATCTGTTGGTATAATGTTTCCTGAGCTAAGCCCTGCTGCAAACAAATCCTCTCCTGTCGTATCCGTTTAATATCCTTTTTGCAATACCTCCCCAAATTGCTCTCACACTTGATACTGTGTGATGATGAAATGTCAACAATTAGCAATTCCTTTGATAATGGTCAGGTTCTGGGGGCCTCAGCTGACTTGAAAAGGTTAAAAGAAGCAGAAGCAGAGTTTCAGCTCAGTTAGGGAGGGCTCAGTATGACTGCAGCAGGATAGGAGAATACTAAGTTTGGGTGGTTTGTTTTATTTGGATTCATAATGGACAATTAATCTGTTTTCTGTTATTGCCATAAATTCTGTTAATGTGTGATTGATGTTTCAGCTTCATATACATTCAAAGTGCAAACCACCACTACCATTATCTATAACAGTCACAAACTAAAAATAGGTGATCCATTACATAATGTTATGGTTGTTTAATGATGGTAAACTCGACTCAGGTTCCATATTTTGCACTTTCTGCCTACTTGGACACTGGGGTTTTTAAATATTTATATTTCATGATTCTTATGTGTCTATATATTCTAATTATGTGTGCCAATCTTTTGCTCATTGTGATTATCTGTATGAACAGAAGCTTACATGAACCTATGTACATATTTCTGTGCAGCCTGTTTGTAAATGAACTGTATGGTAGTACAGGGTTGTTTCCAATGCTTCTGGTTCAGATTCTCTCTGACATTCACACTGTTTCTCCTTTCTTTTGTTTCCTGCAGATTTACTGTGTGCATTTCTATGGCAGTGTAGAATTTTTCACGATAGGTGTCATGTCTTATGACAGATATCTTGCTATTTGTTATCCTCTACAATATAACACACGTATGACATCCAGAAAGGTTGCAATCCTTACTGCATTTGTTTGGTTATACAGTGTACTCTCAACTGTTGTCATATTGTCTTTGAGTGCTCCTTTACAACTGTGTGGCAACACAATTCAAAAAGTGTACTGTGACAACTACTCCATTGTTAAACTGGCATGCTCTGACACAACTGTCAATAACATTTATGGACTCGTTTACATATTTACAGTCATTGTTTCTCTTATCATTTTAATTCTTTACACTTACATGAGGATTCTTAAAGTTTGTTTTTCAGGTTCTAAACAGACCAGACAGAAAGCTGTCAGTACCTGCACACCTCACCTTGCTTCCCTGCTGAACTTTTCTTTTGGTTGTTTCTTTGAAATTGTGCAGAGCAGATTTGATATGAGCAGTGTACCCATTATGTTGCGTATTTTTTTATCATTATACTGGCTTACATGCCAACCGCTCTTCAACCCTGTAATGTATGGACTAAATATGTCCAAAATCCGCATCATATGCAAAAGTCTTTCTTTTGGTAAAATAATCTAGAATGCTCTATGACATATGTCATCTCACAAATTTACTCATGTTTTTTTTAATATGTGACAGGGAGAGGTCTTACAGGCTATGGCTTTAGCCTACCCCTTTTCTTTCTTTTACTTGAACCATTATTTTGTCACTGCGTAAGAACCCATTTCTGTGTACAGTTTTGTTTTTACAATTTATTTTACTTTTAGTTGAGAAGTTTGAATTCTTAAGCTTAGTTAAACTTAAATTACAAAATATGTTGATGTCCGACATAGTCTCCGATTGTAGTCATCCCTTAAATCTTTAGTTGGATTACAACTTGGTTTAGACAAGATGTTGTTTGTGAATGTACATGACACAGGTTTCATCCTTGTTATAGAGACTGACTGTTGAGCACCTATGGCAAATTACTAAATACAACTCTCAGAATTAAATCTATAATCCGTATTAATAAATCCCCAAAAAATTTAACAACTAACTTCTTTTCTGTAGATTTGTGGTTTCAACAATAGGTAGTGCTGTGCCTCCTCCTGCAGTTAACACAATACTGTTTTAGATTTTTGACAGCTTTTTTAGGATTGTGGTAATAAAACTATAGGTCTTAGCTATGATGGATAGATCAGAATTTTACCCCTGCACCATCTTAATCCCATCAATTTTTCTTTGTTTCCTCATTTTTCCTGTCATGTTTTATTTTGTATTTTTGTATTTTTTATGTTTCGAGATGTCATTGTAACCAACATGCACGAGTACATCTTGGACAACTGGGTGTTGTGGGTGCCAGGATGTTGGAAATCTCCCAGGATGTCAGTCACCTTTGTGCTTGGAAAGCAATAGGTCACTGCCATTTATTTTTTCACATTTGTAATTGCATGGGACAATGTTGCATTTGAGGCCCATCCAAGAATGGTTTCCCTTTTCCTCAATTGTTGAAGATCATATGGATTAGAACAGGACTGTGCATTTTTGTTTCTTTCCCATCTGTGCCTCTTTGTTTTGTTGTCAAATTGTGTATCTGACAGTATTTTGACACATTTTGAACCAAAGGCCACTTGGTTTGGATTATTTTTTTTATTTTTATTTTTTCTACTTCATTCTATAAAGTAAAGATGACTCAATCACTTTTGCATAGTTTGTTGCCAAAAATGCACACATGTGACCCTCAAGCCAAACATTTAGGGTGGTTAACAGTAAAAGGACACTGAATTTAAAAAAAACAATGGATTTCGGTCCGTGTATGTTTTGGTCATTGGATTTTCCTTTCAGAAACGGATATTAAAAACAGGAAACGAGTGGTTATTTGATTTTCGTTTTAAAGTACAAAAATGAAAATTGAAATACAAGGCGTTTTTCTTTTTCATGGTCAAAAAGGGATGAGTGAAATTAAAAAAATGATTCGATTTTCATTTTCTATTTCATATAACAACAAATAAAATCACTAGAAAACAGAAACGGAAAAAAGGCCTGTTGTTTCAAAACCATGTTGTCATTTACAGGCGGTGTGTAGAAGAAAGGTCCGTGTATTTTGGTCTTGGATTTTCCTTTCACAAAATTAAAAAACAGAAAACGGGGTTATTTGATTTTCGTTTTAAAATACAAAAATTCAAATTGAAATACAAGGCATTTTCTTTTTCAAAAAGGGATGAGCGAAATATAAAAAAATATTCGATTTTCATTTTGTATTTCATATAACAAAAAATAAAATCACTAGAAAACAAACTTTTGAAATTCAATACATTTATTTACTATATTAATACTTAAGCCTGTTGTTTCATATTCTGAGACCGGATGTTGTCATTTACAGGACTTGGTGCTGTGTAGAAGAAACAGTAGACTAGTAGACTGCGGTCAATCCAGCTGTGAGTCCGATCTCCGTGGTCAAATCAGCCGCACTTAAATTTCGAGTGCCTACTGTTTCTTCTACACACGCCCTCCTTAAATGACATATATTTTTTTTTAAAAAAAAAAAAAAATTTTTTTTTTTTTTTTTTTTTTTTTTTTTTTTTTTTTTTTTTTTTTAAAAAAAAAAAAAAAAAAAATTTATTTTTTTTATTTCTCCCCCCCCTTTTTGACCATAAAAAAAACCCTGTATTTCAATTTCAATTTTTGTATTTTAAAACGAAAATCAAATAACCACTCGTTTCTTTAAACCCTTCTGAAAGGACAATCAAAAAAAAAAAAAAAAAAATAATCCCTTTTCCCCTCTCTTTGTTCAAAACCCCCCTTTTATTAGTGTAAAGTATCTCAGCATTATGGTAAATGCGGAGAAACAGCGTATTTACTTCCGGTTTTCAAAATAAAGGTATTTAGAGCCGTAAGCTATAATTAAAATATGTTACATTAAAGTGTTTCATGCGCCCCTGATGAATAAAAACCACTTTATATCAAGTATCTTTACTGCACCCGTGTGGAGAAATGCCAAAATAAAAGCCTCTCCAAGTTCAGGGACTTCTGTCAATGTAAACTTAGATATATATTTAGACTGTTTTTCTGCTATCGATCTTCATCAGTTAATTTCAATCATTTCTTCATCGAAGCCATCAACCTGTCTATTAGACCCGATCCCAACTAGGCTGCTTAAAGAAGTTGTTCCCTTAATTGGCACTTCTTTACTGGATATGATTAATCTTTCTTTATTATCAGGATATGTACCACAGTCCTTTAAAGTAGCTGTAATTAAACCCCTTCTTAAAAAGTCCACTCTTGACCCAGGGGTTTTAGCCAACTATAGACCGATTTCTAACCTCCCCTTCCTCTCTAAGATTCTGGAGAAAGTAGTCGCCAAAGAGTTGTGTGACTTTCTACATAACAATAGTTTATTTGAGGATTTTCAGTCAGGATTTAGAGTTCATCACAGCACAGAGACAGCTCTGGTTAAAGTTAATAATGACCTTCTGACTGCTTCTGACAATGGACTTGTCTCTGTACTTGTATTATTAGATCTTAGTGCTGCATTTGACACCATTGACCATGATATTCTTTTACAGAGACTTGAGCATCAAATTGGCATTAAAGGAACTGCCCTAAGCTGGTTTAAGTCATACTTATCAGATCGTTCTCAGTTTGTACATGTTAACGATGAATCCTCCATAAATACTAAAGTTAGTCATGGACTTCCACAAGGTTCTGTACTTGGACCAATACTATTTACTTTATATATGCTCCCTTTAGGCAACATTATTAGGAATCACTCCATTAACTTTCACTGTTATGCAGATGATACGCAGTTATATCTATCAATCAAACCCAATGAAATTAATCAATTATCTAAATTACAAACATGTCTTAAGGACATAAAATCCTGGATGACCTTGAAATTCTTGTTCTTGGCCCCAAAAACCTTAGAGACTCATTGTCTAAAGATATAGTCACTCTAGATGGCATTAACTTGGCCTCTAGCACCACTGTCAGGAATCTTGGAGTTATCTTTGATCAGGATTTGTCATTTAACTCCCACATAAAGCAGACCTCTAGGACTGCCTTCTTTCATTTACGTAATATTAGAAAAATTAGACACATACTATCACAGACAGATGCAGAAAAACTAATCCATGCATTTGTTACTTCAAGGCTGGATTACTGCAACTCTTTATTATCAGGTTGCCCCAATAAGTCCATTAAAACGCTCCAATTAATTCAGAACGCTGCAGCACAAGTACTGACAGGAACTAGAAAAAGAGATCACATCTCTCCTGTACTAGCTACTCTGCATTGGCTCCCTATAAAATGTAGAATTGAATTTAAAATCCTCCTCCTCACCTATAAAGCTCTTCATGGTCAGGCCCCTTCATATCTTAAAGAGCTCATAGTACCCTATTACCCCTCTAGAACACTACGTTCTCTGAATGCTGGGCTACTTGTGGTTCCTATAGTCTCTAAAAGTAGAACAGGAGCCAGAGCCTTCAGTTACCAAGCTCCTCTCCTGTGGAACCAGCTCCCAGTTGTGGTTCGGGAGGCAGACACCCTCTCCACATTCAAGAGTAGGCTTAAGACATTCCTCTTTGATAAAGCTTATAGTTAGGGCTGGATCAGGTGAGTCCTGAACCATCCCTTAGTTATGCTGCTATAGGCCTAGACTATCGGGGGATTTCCCATGGTGCACTGAGCTACTCTCTTCCTCTCTCTCTTTCTGCACTCATTCATGTCCCATTAATGCATGTTACTAACTCCACTTCTTCCCCGGAGTTCTTGTGCTTTCTCGTCTCGCAGGTTCTCATGGATCCTGGTGGAGCCTCCTGCCATGGTCCTGCTAGATTGCCATTGCCAATACTGTTGTTGCTGTGCACCTGTCTGTCTGTCTGTCTGTCTCTCGCTCTCTCTCTCTCTGCCTCTCTCTCTCTCTCTCTCTGTCTTTCTGTCTCTCTCTCTCTCTCTCTCTCTCACCCCAACTGGTCGAGACAGACGACCATCCACCTAGAGCCGAAGGATCTGTCCTAGGTTTCTGCCTTTTAACAGGCAGTTTTTCCTTGCCCTTGTCTCCAAGGTCTTGCTCATGGTGGTACTGTTGGGTCTCTGTAATTAATGTTAAAGAGTTCGGTCTAGATCTGCTCTATTTGAAAAGTGTCCTGAGATAACTTCTGTTATGAATTGGCACTATACAAATAAAATTGAATTGAATTGAATTGAATTAAACTGGACGCTGTCTGACTCCCTCACTCGCAAGAAGGAGAATGTTTTCCGGTGGAAAGTAAACTGATGTCTCGGTCCGGAGGGCTGGCGGTCGCGGTGATTTTTGATTACAAACACTTCGTGAGTTTTTCGCCGGTGACAGACGCTGTTTTTTCGGGCAGAAATGTAACGGAAGAGTCGGTAGGACAGGCGGGAGGACAGACAGGAGGACAGACAGGAGGACAGACGCTTCTCCACGTACAGCTGTGGTATTTTTTTTCCTCATGTAAGTTGCCAAAGACAGTTACAGTTACTACGTTACTGTTGTTTGGTCCTGTAACGTTGCTTTGTGGGACATTTCTCTTTATTAAGTTGAGTGAGAGACCTGTGCAGTTATCAGACTGTCTAACCGACACGCCCTCGCTCCTGCATCCCTGATACTAGGATCAGGGACGGAGCGAAATTTCCCCCCTCACCGCATTTGAAACTTTCACACAGAGGAGGGTGCGGAGAATTGGCGCTGGATCCCCACATGCAAATGGCAGTGTGAATGGGGCTACTGTCACACACACACTTCCACTACATTTTGGTAGTTTCAAAACATTTTTTTGATGTGGAAACCCTTACTACCATCTCTCTCTCTCTCTCTCTCTCTCTCTCTCTCTCTCTCTCTGATGTATGCTAGCCTATATTACAGGGCTAAATAATATGTCCTGCCCAGTTCAACGCCCTACAGTGTCCTTGCTAAAAGCCAAATTATATGAAAACACAATAGCTATCAATCTACACATTTCACAACAAACCTAAATGTCCTTGACGTCCCACCTTCAAACACAACCTCATTTGGCCATCCATGAAAAAGCTACTTAACCTCCCATTTTCTATAGCAATACATACTTCCTACAGACACTGCACTAGTTTTTACAAAAGATTGAACAAAACTGGAAACAGACAGTTTTGGATAAACAAACATTAGTTCTAACTAAATTAAATGTGTATGAGAGGTCAAAGAGAAAGAAGTCCTAAAGATCTGTTCAGATGTTCTCTGTGTTAAACAAACCATAAAGATTGAAGAATAAGACTCTCTCTGTCTCTGTCTCTCTCTGTCTCTGTCTCTCTCTGTCTCTCTCTGTCTCTGTCTCTCTCTCTCTCTCTCTCTCTCTCTCTCTCTCTCTCTCTCTCTCTCTCTGTCTCTGTCTCTCTCTGTCTCTGTCTCTCTGTCTCTCTCTGTCTCTGTCTCTGTCTCTCTCTCTCTGTGTCTCTGTCTCTGTGTCTCTCTCTCTGTCTCTCTCTGTGTCTCTGTCTCTCTCTCTCTCTCTCTCTCTCTCTCTCTCTCTGTCTCTCTCTCTCTCACACTGATGAACTGCTGATATCATTGCTGTCCTTTCTGCAACAACACACAGAGGCCAAAATCTTTTCTATGATCCCCTTCCTCATGAAAATATACAGAACCAAGTCTGCAAGAGGACTCAAATATGGTTGTAGAGGTTATCATTATATATCTGTCTCAGCATGTCAATAATGAGTGGCAGGAACAGCAGTGTGTAAATAAGCAGCACCAGAACCAAAATTCCCACAATTCGTCTTTTTCGTCAGAGGGGACGGAGATGGAAGCAGACAGAGCTTTCAGGACCACAACAAGGAAGAATATGAACAGTGGGAAGGGAAGGAGGAGGAAGGTGGGTAATATTCTTCCTGATATGTAAATGACATGAGAAACAACCCAGAGCAGGACACAGATCAGCACAGAGCTCTTTATGGATCGTCTGCAGCGGTACCACAGTGGACAGACAACGACCAAAAACCTGTAATAGAAGATGGAGACATGGTCTTTGAGGGTCTTCAGAATCATACAGTGGTATAATGGTCAGACACTGAAGTACATATGAGACAGATAGTTACCTTTCCAGGGCGATACACACCATGAAGCAGACGCTGACATACACACTGTAGTAGTACATGTAATAGAAGATGACCAGTACGATTCTCAGCTGATATTTTAATGTTAACGCCATAACAACAGTGCAGCAGAACGGAGAAGGTTGATGACGTAGATCGGAGCAACATGATCGTTCTTCACGTGTGTGTGTGTGTGTGTGTGTGTGTGTGTGTGTGTGTGTGTGTGTGTGTGTTTATAAACCAATGATGACTGAGTGGAGCTCATACTTCACTACCATACAATAGGCTGGATGACACTGTCACATATTTGAAACCAGATTTTAATTGAAATTATATTATAAATGATATATATAATATATATTATATATTATATTTATTTCATTCTATAGAGGGAACCATGACTTCATTGTATGCTGGAGGACAGCAAGCGAGCAGATCATTTTGACACCATATGTCAACACAATAACCTCAACGTGTTTGATAGATTTCATGAATTCAGGGTTTCCACTCTTCAGCTCAACGGTTGAGGATGGAGACTGAATATTCCAGCAGCTTCAGTGAAATGAACACATTAACATATGTTCATCTTAACTGAGCGTCTGTAGATAAAATCGTAAAGTAACTAAAACACAACGATTCTTCAGCTGATTAAACACTAATGAAAACATACCTGTGGATATTATATTACATTTCTGACAATAGATCCTCCTCAGTGTTAAATACTGGACCTTTAATGTAACTTTTAATGAAAGTGATTGATTATTCCTGTAAATTCATTCATTCATTACAACACTTCATCCCAGCCCCCTGACGCCTAGCCCCCCAAGATCAACATCCTTTACAGACAGACAGACAGACAGACAGACAGACACATGACACAGACAGTAATAAATAAATCTCAGTCATAATGTACATACCTCAGAATACAGAGCACAGATGGCCACCAGGGTCAAAGGAAGGCGGAATACCAGAGATTATGTATGTTGCCACATCTACGATGAACAATGGATCAATGAAAATGTTGAAGTTGTTGTTGCGGTAGTTCTAGCTGTTGTCCTGTGATGTGTTGTTACAGTTTTTCTCAATTGTTTACACACAAATACTGGTACTTGAGACACAATGACCACAACATGTAACTCATGCACCAACCCCCTGAACCAATTCTGCTAAACTACAAGCACAATTCCTGCTTTACACTCAAATTGCAGTTCTTAAACACACAATTCAAAACACTACACACAATTCTCTGCATTCGGCACAATGTTCATGAAGAAAATATCTTGTTTTCACAAGGAACACACTGTCATTCAAAATTCTAAAGTTAATTGCCCTATAATGCACACTGACTCATCACACGGGCAAACACCTGTCACACAGTTTTACAATTAGCAATCAGAGCTTTAGCATAAAAGGGCAACAGGTTAGGGTTAGATATAGCAGTTGATGCTTTTCATGGCTGGATTCGTCATGCTAGGCCATATTTCCCCCACTGCTTGGCCAGGGAAAACATTGCTTGTGATGTGGATGAGGTGCTGTGGCCAGACCCAAACAGAAGAGAGGATGCAGCATAGTTTTTTGTTTTGTTTTTTTACTGTAAAAAATGTAAATTCTTCTGTTGTTTGTATGTAGACCACTGTATGTGCAACTTTGTGTTGGTTGGTCGTTTTTGTGGGAACAATAAAATATATTTATTACCGTGTATTTGTGGGTTCTGAGTATAAAAACAATATTGTCAAATATTTTCCAACACACTTATGTATGTACTGTCTGTAGTTAGTGTAACACTGAACAAAAAAAAGGCCTAAGTCATTATGATGAATGGAGAAGAAGTGTTTTCCATTCATCATAGTGTTTTACATTGAGCACATCAGTGTTCAACTGGTTCTTATAAATGTCTATTCATATGATGGTTTGTGTGTCATTTGAAAACAAAACACCATTTTGAGAAGAAATAACATTGTTTTGAATGTAAAGTTTCATTTTGCAGGAGAATTGAGGGGTTTTGCCCGTTTCCCCACAATGCTGACTACATATAACTTATTTAAACAAACATGTTTAGAACTGAGGAACCATGATTCATGTTCTCATTTCAGTGAAACATCATTAACTGGATCATTAACTGACTGTAACCTGTCTTGGGTTACATAACTCTATCCTGCTGGGAGACTTTCCATCAGTAATCACATTGTCACACACAACTCTTTAGCATATCTCAGCTGTCATCATAACGTCTCTAAACAGCACTACGACCTTCTTATGCACCCATTTCATACTGATTCTCTTTTACATTCTTCTTTGTTCACCTCATTTTTGTTATTCAAAACCCATCTGTCTTTTGCATGTTATTTATAGGCTGCTGTACACAGTCAGATTTGTTTGAATTTGAATTTAAGGGAAAAAAAGGAGGAACTAAACTGGTAAAACTGGTAACTGGTTGACCTGCAGTATACTGTACACCTACCACTACATTTAATGGGTTTCCTTCACTCTAACCTAAAGTTTTCTCCTCTGCATCCACAGTCTGAGTAACAGCACACAGGACATAGAGTGGAAAACAAGGGACTTTCCATTGAGTAATGGAGAAAGACAACAACAGAGCATTAGGGACTCTCCATCTAAATAATGCAATGGACAGAGATTATAATAACCAAAAGCTGTATAATGATTGAAGTTGATTCAAAAAAAAAAAGTTGATTGGATATGAATAATCAATTTTGAATCAATTTAAGCTGTATGCTAGCCCTTGCTAAATCTTGCAATAAAATATAACAACTGCAGTTAAAGAACAAATTGTGGACATTGGATTTATGTCATCTCTACAGGCAATAATTATTAGGTAGTGTGTTCAACATCTTGAAGGTTCTAACAGGTTACTCTAGCTAAAGAAATTAAACAGACCTTTGGGGCTTACCGTACAAGCCACTAAAATAATCCTAGCAATTACCAAGTGCCCAGATCAATGAGAGAAGAGCTGCCGTGAACGGACGTGGCTAGTGTGGTATTTGACTCTAGGGCTATTTGGTCAGGTGCTGCACTAGAGTGAGCAGGGTAGGTGTTCGGATGAAGGCAGTTAGAAGCTAGGCGTGTCTCCTCGCCACCAGCTTAAACAGTCCTCTTCTGAACCTGGCAGGGTAACACCGACAGGCAAGAGGATCGAACCGTTTAAACGGAGAGCTGGTCCAGTACCACCTATTCTGTTTCCTTTTTAGGGACAAAATGCACACACACACACACACACACACACACAGACACACATACACACACACACACACACACACACACACACAATGTGAGGCAGGAGGACTTTTAAAGACACTCTGCTTCTGAAACACTCTGGGATTTGAACAGACACAGATCATGCTGTGGGTTAGATTTGTAAATAAAGTCCTGATAATAATCCCATGCAGATAGATTTTATTTCTGGATGAACCTATCTAATGCAATATTTGATGTGCTGTTGTTAAAGGGGAATTTGGAAAAACTATTTCAACTTAATAAACCCGTTTAGAAATCATTTGGATGGTTAAATGGCCTGTCCCGGTGTTAATGGTGACGCCCCCAGGTGGAAAACCAAGCTTGCAACTTTGGGACTACCGTCCCGTTAAATTGGAAATAGGAAGTATCATGAGAAGCGAGAACGTGCGAGAAACACAAACTGCTTTAAGGCAATTCCACATAAACGCACACGCTCCCCTCAATACCGGTTAGGCACGCCGGCTATAAGAACAAGCGACGATGGATCATTTTTTAGATGGTCATCATGGCAGAGAAAGGGGGAGGAGGGTCCTGCAAGTTTTTTTTTTAAGACAGTTTTGTGAAATATACATCCCTGAGCTGTAGGGGGAGCTCTGCTGCCATTAGATAGACATTGTGTTGGTAACCTCAGACTGTTTCAACAACACATCACTACAGTTAGCTGCAACAAGGGACTGGAGCTGTTGTACTGTACTATATTATACTGTATACAGTATAATATAATACAGTATAATATAATACAGTATAATATATTATACAGTATAATATAATACAGTGTAATATATTATACAGTATAATATAATACAGTGTAATATAATACAGTATAATATATTATACAGTATAATATAATATACAGTATAATATAATATACAGTATAATATAATACAGTATAATTACAACAGCTCATTGTGGCTCACAGTAGTCCTCAGTTATAATCTAAAATAATAAGCAGTGTCTCTGGTGGTTCCTTGTTGCAGCTAACTGTAGTGATGTGTTGTTGAAACAGTCTGAGGTTACCAACACAATGTCTATCTAATGGCAGCAGATACACACACACACAGGACATTCACTGACTGTAACTGATGTTGGAACAAGTTCCCGGTGCAATAACAGACATTCAGCAGTGAGCCTCAGTGTTTATAATACAATAGGAGATTATATGAGTATAGGATGTTACACTGGACCTACACTTATATCCTCAGTAATAGCAGTACTTCAGTAACGCTAAATAAATGGATCAGAAAACCTTTATTGGTCAGTTTGACTCCACATAAAGCCTAGTGAGCAACCCCAGCTGCTGGGTGCTAATCAAAGTTACACAATATTACTAAACTAATGAATCCCTGCAGTTTGACTGTTTCTCTCTCACTGTAGCTCTATTGTTAACTCTGGTACACCTTGATCAAGTTCATTTACACACACACACACACACACACACACAAAGCTACAATGCTACCAAACTAATGACCTCCACTGCTGAATTACACACAGTACGGTATCTCCTGATCACAGCTGTATTGATCCACACGGTGAACAGATACTGAGCTACCCAGCAGATAATAAGTTACCAGGTTAAAGACAATTAAAGCTATCTGACGTTATCTTCCCTGTTCTATGCAGCTCAACGAGCTAACAGCTGATGAGCAGCTACAGTTTGTTCACTCGGAGGTTTTCTGTTCTTTCTAACAGCGACACAAACATATTACTGACTGAGCACTTTAACTAAATACAGACCAACATAAAGCCAATTTAGCCCGGTCACAAAACCCACAACAGTAACGGAGTTACAGAGTTACAGCCCCCCCCCGCACGAAGCTTGGTGATTCTCTGTATAAACTTATAATAAACTTTGTGTGAATCTCTATAACAATATCAGCAGGGGAGAATATGTCCCCTTTAATATTGGTATTATTAATGTTATATGTGCACAATTAAAAGTCTACAAAATAGTGCAGATATTTCTATTTCGATATTAGCAATTCTCAGTGTGAATGTGTAGGTGAATGGGTGAATGCAGCATGTAGTGTAAAAGGACTTTGAGTGGTCGGAAGACTTGAAAGGGGCTATAAAAGTACAGTCCATTTACCATTTCACCATTTTAGACTTATAGGGATACTGATGATAGGTAACTTTTGCAATAGTTAAATGTATAATGTTAAGGTCCCAGTGTTGGAAGATAGATCAGTGCCTGTTGATAAGAATATTTTTGTTATCTTAGGATGAGCCGTGTTATCCACAGAGTTCTATCTACAGAGTCTGCTGTATTGAACCACCATGTTTCTACAATAGCACAGAACGGACAAAGTTTTGCAAGGGGCGTGGCCACTGTAGTTTCTCCTACACATTTGGAAGGCTGAGTTTTATTGAGATGGCTGCAATCTGCAAATTCCCCTCTAGAGGCCACTAAGTCCTACACACTGCCCTTTAAGCCATCTATGACCACCTGGGCACCCCAACTGGTCTGCAGCTACGCAGCCCCATACCAACAGACTGCTCTGCACTGTGTGTTCTGACCCCTTTCAAACAGAACCAGCATTAACTGTTTTAGCAGTTTGAGTTACAGTAGCTCGTCTGTTGGATCGGACCACACGGCCCAGCCTTCACTCCCCAATCAATGAGCCTCGGCCCCCCATGACCTGTCTCTGGTTCCTTTAGAGGTACTGACCGGGAACCCCCCACAAGAGCTGCAGGTTTGGAGATGTTCTGACCCAGTCGTCTATCACAATGTGGTTCTTGTCAAAGTGGATATATATATATGCAGTTTACATCAACAGTTCTCAAACCCTGGCAAGTCTTTCCTGAGCTAAGCCCTGCTGCAAACAAATCCTCTCCTGTCGTATCCGTTTAATATCCTTTTTGCAATACCTCCCCAAATTGCTCTCACACTTGATACTGTGTGATGATGAAATGTCAACAATTAGCAATTCCTTTGATAATGGTCAGGTTCTGGGGGCCTAAGCTGACTTGAAAAGGTTAAAAGAAGCAGAAGCAGAGTTTCAGCTCAGTTAGGGAGGGCTCAGTATGACTGCAGCAGGATAGGAGATTAATGTAAGGAAACTGTGTCTTGTAAGGTTGTAGCTTTGCATTATATAGGTTGTATATATGGGAATACTAAGTTTGGGTGGTTTGTTTTATTTGGATTCATAATGGACAATTAATCTGTTTTCTGTTATTGCCATAAATTCTGTTAATGTGTGATTGATGTTTCAGCTTCATATACATTCAAAGTGCAAACCACCACTACCATTATCTATAACAGTCACAAACTAAAAATAGGTGATCCATTACATAATGTTATGGTTGTTTAATGATGGTAAACTCGACTCAGGTTCCATATTTTGCACTTTCTGCCTACTTGGACACTGGGGTTTTTAAATATTTATATTTCATGATTCTTATGTGTCTATATATTCTAATTATGTGTGCCAATCTTTTGCTCATTGTGATTATCTGTATGAACAGAAGCTTACATGAACCTATGTACATATTTCTGTGCAGCCTGTTTGTAAATGAACTGTATGGTAGTACAGGGTTGTTTCCAATGCTTCTGGTTCAGATTCTCTCTGACATTCACACTGTTTCTGCTCCCCTTTGTTTCCTGCAGATTTTCTGTTTGTATTCTTATGCATGTGTGGAATTTCTCAACTTAGCTGTCATGTCTTATGACAGATATCTTGCTATCTGTTGTCCTCTGCAATATAACACACGTATGACACGTAACAAGATTACAATACTTATTGCTGTAGCATGGATATATGCCTCTGTTTCATGTTTTATTCCAATATCATTGAGTGCCCCTTTACAGCTGTGTGGGAACATTATCAACAAAGTGTACTGTGACAACTACTCTATCGTTAAACTGGCCTGTTATGACACAACAGTCAACAACATTTATGGACTCATTGCCACTTCTCTCACAATCTTATGTCCTGTATGTCTGATCTTTTACACTTACATGAGGATTCTTAAAATTTGTTTTTCTGGTTCCAAACAGACCAGACAGAAAGCTATCAGTACCTGCGTACCTCACCTTGCTTCTCTCCTGAACTTTTCTTTTGGTGCTTGCTTTGAAATAATGCAGAGCAGATTTAATATGAACAATGTGCCTAATATGTTGCGAATATTTTTATCCCTATACTGGCTTACATGCCAGCCGCTCTTCAACCCCTTACTATATGGTCTGAATATGTCAAATATCCGTAAACATATGTAAAAATCTAAGTTTTGCTTAATGAAGACTAAAGGTCCCTGAGATTTTCTGATTT